TGGTCAGTTATTATCGGTAAATGTCCGATCAAAACACAAATGTGAGTTCATGGTCTGATGGTTTTTCATGAACCAAAATGATGCCTCAGGGCAAAGGCGAGGTACATCGGGCTCGACCAGTTTATAACATGTTCCCATGTTAGAAGTGCAGGCTTGCAGTAAATAGATCTTACAATCAATAAACCCGTGAAGATCAGGGTAGAATAGGTCTTCAGCAACCCATACTTGCTGTAATAGGCGACTATGCTTGTAGTAAGAGGCGACTAACCAGAACGGGTGGTTAGGCTCGATGACTTTGTTGATGCAGGTCATCGTATCCCAATGACGTGGATCGATGCCCAATCGATGCTCATTATGTCAGTCACTGGATTGTCTGGTCCAGACTTGATTATTTACAGACCGCCGTCATATATATACAACTGGAATATTGCTGAGTGCGGCGTTAATCAACAAACAAAACAAACAAACTTACCGTCAATAGATGGAGTCGTCACAGTCAATAGATCAGTCGAACCTCGGTCACTCCACTTGCCAATTGTGTTATTGATGGTATGAGTGCGCGCCAGCACATGTATGTCTAGGAACGGTCGTCGGATCTTTTCCTTCCCTAGCGTCGCGTGTAAGATTATTACACTTATATGTCGACGTGCATGCATGTGTGTGTGGCTGCTCGTACTGTTACGGACTGATGCCGATTTATAGTGCTGGCACACTGAGATACCATGCCGCAGTTTAACATGAATACCCCACTTAGACACAGTATCCAGGCGGATGCTCTAGCACTAGACCATGGAGTCGGTCTTTGGCGACAGGCATGGCGGAATACAATGTGCATGTTTACTAGTATGGTAATGGCGCTGTTTGAGAATGTTACCTTTTAATATCTCACACGTCTATCTTGAAAAAGAATTAGGTAAAGAAAATTGCATATCAGCATTCTCAAAGACGTTGAAAGAAGGTACTTGTTGTTACCTTGCCTGCTGTTAATTTATCTTAAAACGTCATTTAATGAGTTTAAGTTAAGAAATAATGTTTGCTCTACCTCCATATGTAGTTTAATAAAGTATAGTGTTGCCCTTAACTATTATAGTTAAATCATGAGGACGCTTGCGTTGCTTTGACGTTATAATAGTTCAAGACAAAACTATATTTTACTACACTACACATGCGGCTAGAGCAAACTTTATCAATTTTCTAAGATGCAGAATTTAAAAATGATAATTTTTTTGTCTTTGGGATTAATGTCAAATTTGTATTGACATGTGGTAAATTGAAAATCCTCCAACAGGCTAACTGACGGGCTGGTCCACTTGAATGCCTGTATACCACTTAAGCTCAGAGACATATTAACGTTTAAAAAATATAATACGACACGACTAAAATTATTAGTATATTATAAAAGGACCTATTTTCTTATCCGTTCAGAGTGTGGATATTTTTTAAAAAAACATGCACCGAAACGAAGGATTTTGAATTTTTTATAATTTTTGTTTTAATTTGCTTCAATTTTATCACGTGACTCTGAACATTCAACAAATGCATTTTGGGGCCGAGCTAACATGTAAATATAGCCAAACTTCCGTGTCCCTGGTTATTGTGATTTGAGGTGTTTTCTGTCGTACCAGTTGCAGCAACTTAAGCTATGAAATAGTGTGTTTACCGAGGGGGTTGTCCTATATGTTACCGTACCCGACGGGGATCGACGGCCTGGGGCTTGATATGGCGTCGACGTGAGACGAAGAGCAACAGCGGCTATATCACGGTGGTCTGTTAATAATCGAGTCTGGACGAGACAATCCAGTGATTGTTGTCGTGAGCATCGATGCATGCTGAAGACATACTTAATTCGTAGGGCACAAAAGCCCACATCATCAATTTTGTGACTGTTGTCGCACGGTTAGTTTGGTTGGTTTATAGAGGTTATCACGCGAGTGTGTTTGGGGATGGTAAATATCCTGCATTAGGAATAAACATTGTATTTAGCGAGCCTTGGCGAGCTAAATACATAGTGTTTATTCCTAATACAGGATATTTACCATCCCCAAACACACAAGCGTGATAACCTCTTTATCATATAATGTCATTCTTTAATTCTGTGCTTCAAAATCGCTTTCCCTCACTCACAAACATTACCGAAACATTGCGAGTTTTCCTGGAATGCGCGCATTAATATTTATTACGTCACAGGGTAAGTGATGTGTCAGTCGGACAGTGACAGTAGCCAATATAGTTCCAACTGAAATATGTTTCTTATACAGTGGCCAAGCAACATATACGCAAAACAACAATTGTTTTTAATTGTATGTCGCGGCAATCCATCGGTCTGTCCGCTAGAGTAACTGCCCTTTGTCAAAGGGAAACTACTCTAACCCTAGTCTATGAGACGTCACGGCCACGGTCAGATGTTGACAGTCGGTCTGTCCTGTCATAACGATAAGAAGTGTTGTCAGATGTACACACAGCGACAAAACGAAACAAGGTAACAATTCAAACATATTTCCGCCAAATCCAACTAATTTGTGGAGGAGGTTTCAAGCCGCAGAGGTCTACAAGCACAGATATGGCTACTGATCCCGCTTGGCTAGGTCTCGTGCCCTCGCCAAATTGTTTCGAAATGTATATCTCCAAAGTTGCCAAAACTTATAAAATGCCTTAGCTACGTCACAGTTAGACACAGATTTTCAGTATATTAGACTGTTCTTTTGATAATGATAGCAATTATCCCTGTAGTTTATCCAGATTCCCGATGGTTAATTCTGACTCGATCGCCGAATGACGAGTGCGACGCCGTGTTTGTTTATAAACAGTGAAAGTAGTCCCTACTTGACCTTTGATATTTGCATCTTTATCCGCATATGACCCCAACGGATATCGTTTTTATCCGTTGGCTTTATCCTGCCGAGAAACCTACCCATTATATGATAAATTGTTTTACGCTGCACTCAGCAATATTCCAGTTATATGACGGTGGTCTGTAAATAATCGAGTCTGAACCAGACAATCCACTGATCAATATCATGAACATCGATCCACGCAATTGGGATCGATGACATGCTTCAACAAATTAAACGAGCCTAACCACCTGATCCCGTTTGTTGCTTCTTACGACAAGCATAGTTACCTTTTACGGCAAGCATGGGTTGCTCAAGTTCTATTCTACCCTGGATCTTCACGCGGACAGGATAAAGTATAGTCGGTGCCTTTGATATTTTTACGAAGCATCTTAGAATAAAAATAAAGACGTATTTTACGCTCCATGATGAGGTAGATTTCTTCAACCAATGAAGTAGGCTTAATTATTTTTTAACTAAACATGCAATCTGAATCGAAATAAGGTGAGACTGTAATAAGACTTCTCCACACTGTATGATCTTAGAGTGGTCGGCACAAGCAGCCGAGCGCCAAACTATGCCATGCTCCTAACCAGACCATCACAGTGACGTCATGGTCGTGACGTCATGTCACTCGTGTTAGGACGTAAACGATTGGTAAGTTTTCAGTTTGTACTTCAGAATTTTGTTGGGAAATTAAATGAAACTAACATTGTAAATATAGTAAGATTGATGTACAACAGAATACATTTTGAAGGAAGCAGGTGCTTGCTTCACACGATATTTACACCAAAACGTTTGTCTAACCTGTCACCAGGGATAACAAACGTCTGGATGTAAACATTTAAAACCTCGTTTCAACAGAAAAGCTTGTTCTATTTTAATCAGTATATTGCAAAATTGTAAGTTTCATCTCTGAACGAATAACAATTATTTACAACTGAGACTGAAGACTATAAGTGATTATTCTAAATCTGTTCAGTCAAGTGTCGGATGTGTTTTTTCAGTCATATTTTTAAAACGTTGTTCTGCATCATAGAATGGCCAAATATGTCAGCCATATTATTTTTACACCCAAGGCCTGCACCTTTGTTCTTCTATTCCGGAACATATTATGAGGAACAAATGTATTTCTGCAGGGCACCAACATTGTTTTTTGAAGAAGGGCAAGGTAGAATATATTCGAGAGGCCTACCTTTAGAATACAGTACCACAAACATTTTAAACACGTGACAATTAAGAATTGACCTTCACTTTGTGTGAGTTCATTGGAGAATCAATCTTCATAGAGTGAGGGCCAAACTGTATGAACGTCGGAGCTATTACCCTTTGACGTAAAATTAGTATTTTGTTGCCACTCACACCGGCGAAACAATGCCCTGTGACGTCAGGGGTCATCGGGTGTGTATAAGCTCCTCCCAGTGATCTATCATCTCTACACGAAATGGCATTGAATACGCCAAGCGGTGTGGAGAGTTTTGAATATTTCTTTACTAAATATAGCCTGCGGCGGCGCATTTTATAGCAAACGCTAGTTTACGAAAGCACTTTCATTTTTTATATATTTTTTTATTTCGCCTTTCTCGTAATTCAAGTGGCTAAAATGGTTATAAATGGGAACTAATATACCTATATATTTTTTCTGTTGATTTATTTCATTATAATGCACAAGAACACATCCAAATATCTCTAGTGTAGGTCCCTTTGAACTCTATCCTTAGTCCGTCGATCCCCTTTCGATCATTAGGGTTAGGTACCCATTTTGGTGTTGTAACTGCTTTCGGGCGTCCAGTGCGACCCTACTACAGTTGCTAAATGTATTGCCGTTCCTGGTCAAGGAGTGATTGATCTAACGATGCTTACTCCAAGTTGTCTCTATCAGCATTCATACTCGCATACGCAACACCAGCTTTATACTCACATAGTTTTACGTACTCTCAGCCCATCTAAAAATACAGGGCAGGATCAGACTGGCCAGACTTGTCTCTAACTTGGGAAAACTTAGAATGATTCTAAACATTTACTACAGATTCCTTGATTACGTGAACCAGCTGTCGTCCTTCACCTTGATCGTTGATTGTTGGAAGTGTGTGATGTCGTTGAGGTGTGAACAATGTAGATGTATGACGAAGATGTCTGGATGTGTACAGAGTTTACTTTGTGTTACAGCGACTCCATCACCAGCAGACTTCGAGAACCTCCATGACGCCAGCGGGGACGTGGACCTGGAGGAGATGAAGCGGGTACTGTCATCACCAGCAGACTGCCGCCGTCTCTTTGATGCCAGCAAGTGGGGAGAGCTGGAGATGGTAGAGCGGCTCCTGTCTCGAGGCGTCGACGCCAACTGTTGGTTGAGAAAGAGGAGCAGGACACCTGTAATGACGGCAGCACTGAGGGGACACAGAGACGTGGTTGAGCTCCTTGTGAGTAAAGGTGCAGATGTGTCACTGGTGGACAAGAACGGTGAAAATACCTTTCACTTGGCCTGTAGGGAAGATAAAAGCGAGACGGTGAAGTTTTTGCTGTCTCTGAACGTGGTTGACATCGACGCCAGCAACAAGCAGGGCCGGACAGCAGGGTACCTGGCGACATCCATCACCACTCAGTGTTTGTGCGGACGGTGGAGGTGACGTGACAGTGACGTGGTGTGCCGTTCACGTCGTTGTGTGTTAATATGTCTTCATTTACGTGAAACTGTTTGGTTTGTTGGAGATAAATAAAACTTGTAAAAAGTTTGTCAGACATGTTGTCATTTGTTGTGTTTGGAACTTTGCATGAACAGGTAAGAAAATTGTTAACTGAGTGTAAATAGAGATGATGTGTGATTGGTATGTAAGCACCGCACCTCGTGATATGTTCATGCATGTCGTCATATATTGCTGTGTTAGTTTTACGCCATAAGTAATTAATCGAGAAAAACACACTTACAAAATCTCACTGCACTCGGTGACCTGAGACCGAGCCGAAGTTCGCCAAGCTGACGTGGCGCCAAATGTACATTGACAGTGACGTCACACACGTCATTCCGGCTTAGGTCTAAACACTAAAGCTGCCTGCTGTTTTCTCTGCTAAATACGATATCAGTAATTCACAGGGCGACACAATGCTGTCTTCACGACATATGCTAGTACAGCACAGGCCTCACAGGCCATATTTCTGATTGGTGAGATATTTATTTTCTCTCTCCAATTTCACCATTTCAATCAAGCTACTTCCTAGCGCGTGACACCTTCTTTACACTATCGTCTTACAACTGACCAGATTTCCCAGATGAATTCAGAGCTAAAAATCACGTGTCACGTGTACCCGTTATGAGACGCCTGTAACATTACGTGTATTTCAAACTCAGCTGTGATACATACATCCTTGAATTCCTCATACATTTTAGAATCAAATGACACATGGTCTCTGTCACCAATACAAAGTGCCTAGATAACATCAAGGAAAATAAGTTAGGTGTGAAAACGAACGTTGTGCTCGAAAATCTGCATTTGTTTGAAATGTAAACAAAGCAAAATGCAGATTATATAGTGTAGCATTTTCCCCTATTTTCAGCTATCCATTCGTCCATTCGTTCAGAATATGAATGGGAGAGAATCATAGGAAGAATTAGGGAATTAGAAATAGATACTTTGCAACATTTGATATTTTCAACAGAAATTGTCAAAGCTACCGTCCGGTGTGACGCCTTGACTGACGCAAAATCACGCACAATGACAACGATATTCATGGGAATTTCTGACTATATCTGTTGATTTCAATGAAAATATAACAACACATAACAGTAAACAGATTGTCAGAATGTTTCTGATTACTTACATGTCACATTTATGTATATACGATCCGTGAATCAACGAAAGTCACCTCGCACAATCCCGCGTACTGTTGGTTATTTCTTCATCACCCATACATTTGAGTTTTTCTTACCAGCGACACAGCTTTCCATTCTCAGGCAGCCAATTAGAGTATGTGAAAAATAGACCACTGTAAACCTGTAATGGGGGAATAATACATAAAAAATACATTTCTTAATTTGACATATGACCAATTTATCACCCCAAGAATAATAAATAATTTTCATTAAAATTAAGCTAGCTATGCATATTTGGGCTCTTTATCTGTTATGATAATATAACAATTGCATCAGTAAAGAAGTGTGCTTTTTCAGTAAACATGGTAAATAATAAATCTTTGGTTTAAAGAATATACTTGAGACAAAACATGTCTTTAATACTCTTTATTGTCTGTTAATTCTGAAAATAATTAACTGTGATACTGAATGTCTACCTAAAAATAATAATATGAAATTAATTTTGAGATTATTTCATCGTATCTAAAATACAAAATATATTTTAAGATGCATAAATGAATATCATTGTTGAAAAAAAAATGTTTAAAAAAAATACCTAATAAGGTTGATTGGTGCTCACCATCTTTATCTTCATCAGTTTGTCTGCTCCCTATTAGAAATCAAAATATAAATACATATATTACATTCTTGAGTTTACATAGATCTAGGTATGACTTAATACATTCAAGTTTAAACGTGGTGATAGAAAGTGAGTTTCTTAATTGTCCTGAGATAGTATGTTTAAATAATTGAAGTCTTCATGTTACAAAAGCACACCAAATAATTAAAGGCAACAATTAATTAATTATAATATTCCAAAAAAGAAACGCATAAGGCAGAAATTTGAAGAAACAAATGTTTAAGTCGAACGTGTATAACTATTCAACAAACACACGCAGGAGCATGAAATTAGACGTGCACATGGCAGAACCACGCGTGTACACGATAATAATGATCACCACAGGCTAAACAGTCATGATTTTTTTCAGCGTCCAAAGAAGTGTCAGTACCTGTTCTGTCCACCACGTGCACGAATAACAGTCCGGACCCGCCTCGTCATGGACTGGATCAGACGCTGTATAACTGGTTGAGGAATTCTCCTCCGCTCCTGCTGAAGAAATGTAGCTAACTCCTGAAGAGTTTGAGGTTGACGTACACGATGACGTAGACGGCGATCAAGTTCATCCCAAAGATGTTCGATGGGGTTGAGATCCGGGGAACGAGACGGCCATGGGAGCACAGGAATGTTGTTATTGGCCAGATACTCCCTGGTGACACGTGCTGTATGTGGCGTGGCGTTGTCTTGCTGGAATAACTCCCGTCGGACGTCATTGACTGGGAGAAGGTGTTGCTGAAGAATATTGTCTCTAAAGCGCACAGCCGTCAGGTTTCCATGGACATGGATAAGATTAGTACGGTTGGTGTAGGATATCGCCGCCCACATCATGACACTTCCTCCATCGAATCTGTCCACCTGACGTACACAGTTAGGAGCATAACGTTCATGGACCCGTCTGTTAACTCTGTTTCGTCCATCCCGTCTCTGTAGAAGAAACCTAGATTCATCGCTGAACCATATGCACCTCCAGTTTCGTAAGTTCCAGGCCGACATGTTATTGCACCAGCCGAGACGTTGGACGCGATGCTGACGTCGTAACATGTTCCCGAAGTAGGGTCTCCGGGCTCTCAGTCCAACCTCTCTTAGTCTGTTCCGTACTGTTTGCCCTGATATCCTTCGAAGTCCAGGCTCCCTGGCCGCTGTGCTCTCTGCTGTAACAGTACGATCACGTAAATGGAGGACCCGGATGTAGCGATCCTGAGCTGCTGTGGTGACTCGAGGTCTTCCGGTGCGTGGACGGTCTTTTGTGGTACCCATAAGGTTGTAGCGTGTTGCGAGTCGAGAAATCATACTCTGGCTTACATTTGGACGTCTTGCAACTGGAGATTGCGACTCATCAACCCCTAGTCTTCCAATGGCGATATTGCGAGTCACAGCATCTAGACGTGACATAATGATTCCGTCGTGAAACTCTTCAAAACTGATTTCACATTTCGAATGCGACATGGCATTTTATAGACAGATACAACATGCAACTCATGGCCCCATTTGCACGTGCAAAATGAGTGTCTTTTTTGTGATGTGTTTTCAGAAATTTGTAGAACGTAAAACACAAAGTTTTGCGTTTTGGTGTTTTTTTTAAATACAGATTTTCATTGAAGTCTCCTATAAACAGATTTATAACATATTTTATCGATTCATTTGACATATTATTTTATCAGAGGATTTTTTAACATTCAGAAACACCTATGCGTTTCTTTTTTTGGAATAGTATATATTGATCTGGATAAACTCCGCCTGTTGAAAGGGGAAACAACTGCTGTGGTTGCAAAATATCTTGGTTGTGAGATGTAAGGTCCATTCGGCAAAGATTGATCGTTTCCTGCATTAAAATTGAGTATTGCTTTTGATCCAAATGATTTGTGTGTTTATTTTCTTAAAATAAAATTTAAGTCTCGATTATTTTAATATAACTATGAAATATATTTTTGATCCATCGGCTCAAGATCAACACTTGGTGGTAACGTAACATCTCTTATGTGGTTGATGGTTATTTATTTTACAAAATGACAAAAACAATATGGTTTGTACACTATTTTAGCAGTATTTTTACATGAGTTAATCAACTGTTTCTTTAACTGTTTTATTAGTCTTGAAAACGCCCTGTAAAGAATGTATCGGAGTTGATCACCTGGTCACGTAATATTGATGCGGTATCTCGCTTCGGTTACCGTCTTCCTGCAACTGAATCTCGTACATTGGGAAGCTGAAAATTCTCTGATAAATCTCCACATATCACACACCTTCCTCCCCCACAAATTTACTCTCGGTCACCAACTTAGGGAGATGGAAACATCATCACTACGGTAATGTTTTGACAGCTGGGGATTTCCTCTACCAGACATTAAGAGTCCCCGATCCGAAAATAGTGGCGTCAATTATTTTTAGCCAGCCAATCAAAACGCGATGACACAGCTATTCACTCTCAGATAGCCAATCAGATTGGGTGAATAAAAATAAACCACTGCGAATAAACCGCTGCTAGCGATTAAAGATCAAGCCCTGTTATGGGAGAAAATATGTATAATGTATTCTGATGAGGCATTATGTGCTTTTCATTTGACATCTTTGTTTGTTGCAAACGCTTTTCCGAATGTAACTGACGTTAAGTGAATTTGGCGATCGGCTGGTACACAATCATGTTATCTAACAGATGTAACATATGCAATCATTTTATATAATAGTTATGATATAAGCATAAACTTTATTTAAAGAGCATATTTGTAGTTTTTGTTGTGTATTTGATACGCTAGGATTTGATTTGTCTGCGTACTTCAGTTTATTTAATGCGTATTTAACGCAAAAACACAGCTCATCTCGAGCTCTGGAATTTACCTTTTCCTTGGTTTAATCAGATTGGACCGAGATTGCAGATTAACATGAAATCACTAGACTGAGTTCCTGTAACCTAAACTAAATCGCGCTAAACTTGCGTGGCGCACCAACAATTGAACCAGTTTAATTAAATACCCCAACTTCCCCCTTACATTCCTACTGTACCAATTATGTGATAGTTGATACAAACTAGAATTCAAATTAACAAAGCAATAATAATTAGCTGGGGTAAGTGTATATTCATTATCACTGAAGTCATCACTTGTTTATAAACAAATGGTAAGTTGGTTGCGAGTTGAACTCCAAGCATAATTGTGGTCACCTATCACAGTGGGGAGCTTTGACTGGTGCCAGCGATAGCAAAGAGAAATTGCATTCCAATAACAGGTAAGGTGAAATTGGGTTTAACGTCGCGTCCAAGGTTATTGCAC